GTCGAAACCTTGGGCAAGTTTCCTTACTCCACATTCCTGATAATAATCCCTCAAAAAAAACAATAATAATTTGGTCACTTCAATCCACAGCTGTTTGTGGAACGCAGCTGTGTGCAATTGCCTGTCGCATTTCGCCCACAAATATACAGTCAATTCACTTTAGTCTATTCTGTGAAGCGCTTTGAGACGTCTAGAAGACATGAAAAGCGCTATAATAAAAATGCAAGGATTATTACTATTATTATTAGTTTCAATAATTTTGAAAGGAGACTTTCATCCCATATCTAATAATAGCTCTCCTAGAGCAATTCAGTTTAGTGCTCGCAACCAAAACTCAACTTCCTAGAAAGAACAAAATTTCAGAGAATTCAATGTCCATGACAGAAGATTAGTTTTCCGACTGATAACAATATTTCATAATATTCATGGTATCTTTATAAACAGTTTTAAAACACAAAAGTGTTTATTTTCTGTTGTTATGACATTTTATGGGAATTATAAAAACTAGTTTTGCTGTTTGCACGTGTCAAAATGGCAAAACAAATTAGAATGTTAAATTAGCCACTATTCACATTTAATTTGATTACAACCAAAAAGAACCTGAAATTTCTCAGTGAGGACAGTTGACATTAACATTAACAAAAATAAGCTTTGAACCTACTGAGGAAACACAGCTATTAGTGTTTCAGACTGATAAACTTGTTGAATGATCCAATAAATATGAAAATCTATTAATGCAGCTGTGGGGTGCAAAATTTCAGATGATAAATTAGTTCTAAAATGCGTAATTTGCTAACTTCCAAGCTAAGTGTCACCACCTCAGCTTGAAGGAAGCAGCATTCGCTGTGCTGTGTAAATTGTAGGCACTGTTGTGGAAGGATATGGTGAGATTATGGGGAGCTGGTGAGGGAGAGAACTCATAGAAAGAAGTTGAAGCAGGCACGGCTGCTACAGAACAGAGACAAGAACAACAACAACAACAACAAATTACATTTGTATAGCGCCTTTCACGACAGGAGTATGTCCCAAGGCGCTGAAACAACCTGCCACAACAGTAGTAATTATGTTTGGGGCTAAACTTATATTACTTTCTTAGTATTTCTGAATGTGCAGACTTTGTAAATTCTTAAATTCACTCAGTCCGATTTCTAAAGTTCTTAAAAGAATGCACAGAAGTTGCTTCAGAAATAAACTCAAAACTGAACTTGAGAATCTGCCCAATTCAGGATATTCTAAAAGGCTATGGTAAAAGTGTAAGTCTAGACCTAATTAGTCTGGAATTTCTCCCCCCAGAGGTGCATAGGGGTACAGACCTGCTATAAAGTGGGGATCTGCAGAGCAAGAGGGCCATAGGGAGAGTTATGTTACTATAATTGATTCAACACTCAAACTGAACTTGTGATCCAGTGTGCAACCTCAGTAGGTTCAATCCCTCAGTTGTCCTTCTTTCCTTTCATTCAGTCCCTGACCAATACTACTTTTGTTCGCCAGGACCACTTTCTTCCATCTCTGCCACATTGCCCGCCTCTGACCGTACCTTACCCCAAATGCAGCCCAAACTCTCGTGCATGCGTTTGTCACCTCCCGCCTGGATTACTCAAATGCACTCCTCGCCGGTCTTCCCAGCTCCACTATTCAAAAGAACCAGCTCATTCAGAACTCTGCCGCCCACATACTGACCCGGACCAATCTTTGTACCCATATCTCACCAGTTCTGGCACGGAGCCACTGACTCCCCATCACCGAACGGATCGACTTCAAGATCCTCACTCTCATGTTCAAATCCCTTCACGTTCTGGCACCTTCCTACCTCTCCGACCTCCTCATTCCATAATCCACCACCTAGCGCCGCCGCTTGACTGGCACCCGCCTCCTGCTCGTCCCTCACACCCTCTGTCCCACCATCAGAGGTTGCGCTATCAGCCACTACTCCCCAAAACTGTGGAACACTCTTCCTCAATCCCTCCGCCTTGCCCACTCTCTTCCCTTTTTCAAGTCCCACCTGAGAACCTTCCTCTTCAACCGTGCTTATGTCCACCTCCCATGCCCCCACCACCCCCAGCTTGGAGTCAGGTTCCGCCACTGTTAAGCGCTCTGAGACTCTATCCTGGGTGGTGGGTGCTATATAAGTGTAAGTTGTTGTTGTTGTTTCTTTACCTCTGCCACATTGCCCACCTCCACCCTACACCAAATGTAGTTAAAACCCTTATTCGTGTTTTTATTAACTCTTAACTCAACTTTTGAAATACACTCCTCGTTGTTCTCCCCAGATCTACAAGATCCAACTAATCCAAAACTCTGCCATGCGTATCCTCATCCTCAACAAACTCTGCACACCCATCGTCTCAACTCTCACCAGTTTCCACTAGCTCCCCATCTCCAAACGGATTGTCTTTGAGGTTCTCAACCTCAAATATCATAGCATTTCCTTCTCTCTCTGATCTGCTCACCTCCCCCCACCACCTCTCGACTCACCCCCCCCACCCTTCTACTCACCCCCTTTGCACCTCCCCCCAACAGTGACTGTGCCTTGATGCACTTCACCACTAACTCTGGAACTCCATCCCCACCCTCTGCCTTGCCCCTGCTCTACCTTTAAATACCACATCTTTAAATATCACCTTGAATCTGCCTTTTTTGACCGTGCCTATGTTGATCTGCCCCTCTCCCCATGCTCGTAATCCAACCCCACCGTTGTGAAGCATTAAGAGACTTTCCCTATGTAAAGGGTGCTATATACTGGACAGTAAATGCAAGTTGTTGTTGGACAATGTGGAAGAGCTCATGACTGAATTATGCAGGGCCATCTATCAAATAGGGAGAGATATGGAATCTCAGTGTATCTGCATGGAGAATGTGGCATCCCAAGTCTTTACTTGCATCTCTTGAATGCTTCCACTGCTGCTCCTGGGGGATTAGTGTTAACAACTCTAAGATACTCATAGCCAGAGCAAAGAATACGAAAACAAAACACCTTAGATGACAGTAGAGGTCAGCAAATTTAAACAGAATGCCAAAAGCAGGTCCATAATTGCAAACAAATCTATACAGTATAATAATGTCCTAATCCCAGTGGAAAATTCAAACTGTTATCTTTTTAGTCTTTTTTAGGAGTACAGTTTCTTACATCGCATTCCCTGAGCAGATTCCTTGATTAAAATCTCTCCTGTTGTGCAAACGTGCTTGGTTTCATAGACAGGTCATAATCCAGCTGAACAATAAATTTGTTTTACTGAAAGTCGATGCACCTAACCACATTGTCTTGTGCAAGAAGATTTGAGCATACTGAGGATACTGGATTAAAATGATTTAAACACAATTGTACTGCAGATCCTCGCTAATTCCTGGGTTGCATATTTTTCAGTTCGCTCTCTGACAACACAATTCATTTTTGCCAAACCCCACTTATACACAGCAAGTTAACTTGTTTTATATAGCGCCTTGGGACACTATATAAAATCAGTCAAACAGTCTAATTATAAAAACAACAAAATTACATTTGTATAGAGCCTTTCACGTCGGGAGGACATCCCAAGGTGCTGGACAGTCAGAGTGTCGGACCTGAGCAGGGGGTCGGGATCAGGGAGGGGGGGGAAGGAGGGTGATCGAAAGCATGGTCGAAGAGGAGGGTCTTGAAATGGGTCTTGAAGGAGACAAGGGAGGCGGAGGGACTGCAGGATGGAGTTCCAGAGGGTGGGAGAAGAGTGGCAGAAGGCCCACCCGGCAATAGTGGGGCAAACGAGGCAGGGGACATGAAGCAGGCCAGAGCCGACTGAGCAGAGGAAGCAGGCAGGATGGTAGGGGGTTAGGAGATCGCAGAGGTAGTGGGGAGCAAGACCATGGAGGGCTTTGAAGGTGAGGACCAGGATCTTGAACTGTATCCTCTGTGTGATGGGAAGCCAGTGGAGTCAGGTGAGGATGGGGATGATAGGGTCACGGAGCCTAATGCGGGAGAGGACACAGGCTGCAGAGTTCTGGATGATCTGCAGCTACGAAGGGAGGAGTTTAGGAGGCCAACAAGCAAGTTTGCATAGTCAAGCCTCAATGTAATGAAAGCATGTATGAGGGTTAATATACATTTGTGGTGTGTAACATACTTCCATTTACGAATGAATCATTATTTGAAACTCCTGTTGGAGAACATCATGTTTTAGACCCCATCGTCCCCTCTTCTTCCCCAAACATTAAAAGCAGTGCTCAAGCATTCCAAATATCTACATAAGGAATTAGTTCAGTCACAGGCATTGCACTGGTTCTCCGCTGGCGTACAGGGAATGTTTAGTTGGGTCATACCCCATGGAAATACCAGATCTCCCAGGATCCAGCCATCAGGCCTACTTCTGTCTCAAAAATATGGGTAACAGCTGATGGCCTCGAAATAAAGAATCAGGTGTTTCTCCTGGGAACTGTGCATTGATGTGTATGAACTTCATGCACAGGTTGAATACCATCTGCACACTGATGGAATGGTATCTTGCAATTTAGAGTTGCTTTGTGGTCTGTGGTGTGGACATGTTTGGCTACGTGCCTACAAGTGAATTTTACCATGTGCCTCCAGGAAGCCAGCAATTTAGTAGAAATGTTGCTACCTCTGTGGTTGCCCCTGCTGAGGTGCACGGAGTTGCTTGTTTTGCAACAATCGTACAAGCTCCCTCAAGGCAGCATGATACAGCAAATTCTCGCCAGGTGTCCCTGCAGGTGTCAGATAGATCAAAATGACAAATGTTCAGAACATATTCATGTGTGGTGCAAAACTAGTTATGGATTGTCCTTACAAGTCTTTGTGGAACATACAGCACAGCTCCCACACAACCTCGCCAGCGAGTCTATGCCGCATAAGAAACTACTCCTCTGTCACAACCAAGCTGCTCACTCAATTCCAATTGATCTGTTCCTTGGGGTAACGGAAATCTCATTGAAGCCATCCATCCACTCTGCAATTCTCAACTTCTCTCCTGCTGCCCTCCTTATATAAACCTGGCAATGGCTAGTGCACTCACCCTCTTTGTACTTTTCAATGTTCTCAATGCTCACCTCCTGCTCCAAACTCACCACCTAACCTGGGGTTACATATAAAAGATTGGGGTTAGAAAGGTGTCAGCCTAGCTTCTCACCTCCGAGTCAGAAGACTGTGGGTTGAAGCCCCACATTAGGAACTTTGGGTTCAAAGTCTAGGCTAACACTTCGGTGCAGTGCTGGAGGAAGCACTGCATTGTCGGAGGTGTCATCCTTCAGATAAGATGTTAAACCAAGATCCCTGTTTAGATGGATGTTAAAGATTCCATGGCACTATTCAAAAGGAGAAAAGGGCTGCTTCCAGTGTCCTGGCTCACAATCCGCCAGATAAACAAAAATAGAAGTCGCTGGAACACTCAGCAGGTCAGGCAGCATCTATGGAGAAAGGAAAGTGAGTCAACGTTTCGGGTCCATGACCCTTCCTTCGTCAGAACTGTGGGGGTGGGGGGGATAAAGTTGGTCATTCACTTCATGGATGTGTATAACAATATAATAATAACATAATGGGGCATTGCAACCGTGTGTAAATTGGCTACCGCATATGTTTACAAAGTACACAGTGACTACAGTTTACAATAAAATCTTGTGAAGCGCTGTGAGACATCTCGATGACGTGCTAAAGGACTATACCAAATGCAAGGATTATTCATTATTATAACTACGTTTAATGTGCCTTTTCTGTGATGGAATATTGCACAAATTACTCCTTAATGGCCATTAAGCCTTAAACAGTTGAATTGGCAATTTCCCCCCATCCACATAATTGCTACGCCAGTTTTTCATAGGTAGAAATTTCAGATGTGGTTCTAAACAATTTGTTCATGTGATCATTCAACATCGCACACCTATCACACAAATTTATCTTTTCACTAATATTAGTGAACAGGAATTTGGGCTCACATTATCAAAAGTGGAACAAACATACTGGCACCACAATGTATCACACCAATGAGGTATTTATAATGAAGGAAGCATAGTGCCCAAATTTCCTAATCTTGGTACAAATCAATAACCTTCTAACAGAGTTTACCTTATGCTATAATGAAAAAGCACAAAATATCCTTTGATAAATCCTTTTTGAGACATCTAGAGTGACCCACAGCTTTTCTGTCTGAATAGTGGATCAATGTTCAAAAAGGATACAAAATTGAAGGTCCCTCCCCCAACAGAGTCATTAAATTTCAAATAACTTGCTGCTTTGTTTTGCATTCCTGCAATTCTCTGATCAGTTTCACTTGTACAGCATCATTAGCATATGTAGCATGGCTCTCATCATTGTGCACATAGACTTCTGAAAATTTTGCTCGAGTATATCAGAGAGAATATTTTTTAAAAAGCCTGCTATCCTTCCCTAACCAATCTGAAGTCCAAAATTCTTCATGGTGTTCAGACTATGTCTTAAAACTTAAGATTGTGCAGAAGTTTGGAAAGTCTTAAATTCAGGGTTTTTTTGAACGCTGCTTTTCCATCATCACAAAAGAATCCTGGAAAAAAAATCCAAATCAAGATTCATTGCATATCAGAATTTTCCAACATTTTACAAACACTTAAACAATGGCTGGCCTAAAACAATGAAATATTTCAGACTTCAGATCTCCAAACACATCCCCTATCCCCAAACAAATACCTTTTCACAACTTGTGGCTGTAAAAACCCAATGATTATTTGCAAATATACATTGAAATCATTCTTAAATAAGAATCTTCTCTGTAAACAGTGAAATGAAAACTGACCAAGCAACATCCATTTCTCTCTGCTCCGTTTTAAGACTATTTGTCCCATCAAGGCTGTTCCTTCCACAGGTCACTCAAAGCCTACCCTATCATGGACATTTATCTCGTGGAAAAACATGCTCCATTAAGACTCCCTGATCATCATTGCTATTTGAAGCAAAAACCCCAGAATATTTATCCATCCTCAAACCTCTACTATTCTATTCTATCCCTTCCCCCAACAGATTATCCCCTTCTTTCCCACTATCCCTGCCAATAAAAAAACATTATATCTCACGGGCCAAATAGCCAATTTATGCGCCATATTATTCTATTTAATTCTTACAATCAAGGAGTTATAGGTCCCGGAACTGTCCTTATTGTCCTTCTCTACCCTTTGTCCAATGCGCCAATTCCCTTTTGAAGGTGAAGTACCCAAAGCTACATACGCAATTATCCATACAAGGTTACAATAACTTCTTTTTGACTTCCAGTCAAATGGCCTTGAAATGTAACCTAGCAGTTTAATAGCTTCTATGGCAGCTTCTTCACACTGACTGCAACCTTCAGTGAAAGTTCAATAATCATATCTAAATTACTTGCCTTTCCTACCACCACTAAGTGACATCCCCTCATTACATAGACAGGTTTATTGTTTCTCATTCCAATATCCATAACCTTACACTTAATCTACATTAAAATCTGCCCTTCTATTCAATTGGTTCATTCTTCCCAAGTGCTCTTTATCCTTCTTTATTTCCCGATATACGAGAAGCCATCAATAATTATCCAAAGATCACAGAGCAATCAACATGGACTTTGAAGTGATAGGCCATACCTTACAATTCTATGGAACTCTTTAAGGAAGTAGCTCATGTGGAGAAAAACATTAATGCAAATTTGATCGGCTGTGGATCTAGGATTCCTCATTCCGTTTAACCTTTAAAAGTATGGCCATACATCAAGAAATATTCAATCAAAAAATGTATTTGGTTTACTGTCCTGGCCAACAAAACTCCAAGTAAATGTTCATGGCAGTCTAAGGGACATTGCTGTGTGCAAATTGGCTACTGTGTGCTCCTATAAAAATAGTCACTCTACTATAAACTCTGTGAAGCACTTAGATAACGATTGAACAATTGATAAGATGTTAAATCAAACACAGTAATTGTTTTTATTTGAAAATTCAAGTGATTACACCCCCAGACAAATGTAGTTACTTCCTCAAAGAATTTCAAAACCTATGTTGCCTGTTCTATGCTCTGTAGATACACAGATGACAATTCTAGTAAAATGCTCCAAAATGTTTTTCTCACTGGGTTCAATCCCAATGTTGGATCTTGAACTCATAAAGTCTAAGATGGCACTCCAATGCAGTGGTGGGAATGTGTGTCAGTGTTGGAGATGTGCTGCATTGTTGGAGGTGCCATCCTTCAGAAGAGACATTAAACCAAGGTTCTGTCTGCCTGTTAACTGGGACATTAAAGATCCCATGGCACTATTCAAAAGGAGAAGGGAATTTCTCCTGGTGTCCTGGTTAACAATCCCCCAAATAATACTGGTCATAGCTGTTTAATGAAAATTGTTTGCCATTTGACCCCAAAACAGTCAATTATCATTGAAAGCATTGAATGGTTTGAAATTAAAGGTGATATGTTGATTAGTTCCAGGTGTGTGGTACATCACCTGGCATAAGGTTTGAAAATAATGATCCTTACATTTGATATAACACATTATCACATCTTCAAGACATCTCAAATCTCTTCACAGAATATATTGTAAAGTGAATTAACTGTATATTTTTGTGGGCAAAATGTGGCAGCGAATTGCACTCAGCGGTGTCCCACAAATTCAAGTCATGGATTGAGTGACCAAATTATTTATTTATTTTTAAGGGATTATTACTGCCAGAAATGTGATCCGCCAATCGACTAACAACTGGTAAACAGAGGCACGTGGAGTAAAGAAACTTTACTGTTTTTTACTGGCCCTATGCGTTGCCCTGCCAGGAATAGAACCCAGGTCCGATAAGATATTATAGAATTGGTGTCTTCATCCCTACTGCCCCTCAGGGTAGGAAGGATGTAGGGCAGAGGATAGTTGGCTGGACAGGTGTTCGTGCAAACACATCCAATATTACCACATACCACAACCACTTTGACAACATTTTTGTTTATTGACGTATGTGGATACACTGCAAATTTTCAATTAATTTTGTTTTAATATAGGTATTGGTGAAATATTGTTAAAAAAAATCCTGCAGACTAGTAACCATCAGCTGTTGTTCCTTGTCTGGTGGTTCCATGGCCCTTGGTTCTAAAACCAAGGCTTAAAATCAGTAGCTACTAAATGTTACATAATAAGCCATTTACTTATTTGATATATAATGCTGCAATGCACTGCCAAAACTGCATCCAACTTTGCATAGCAGTTTGGCAGCACGAAAATCAAAAGATGAGTGTTGAATGATACAGTATTGCTAAAACAGGTAAAAAAAAATATTCCTCCCACCCCACCTATTCCTCCACCTGTTAATAAATTGTAGATGTGGGTACAAATTAACTGTGCATGAGCGAAAATTTTTATTATTGCAGTTGTTGACATTTGATAGTACAGATTTTGACAGATGTACAGTTTAGGAAATGGAAGCTGAATAATAATTAAAATAGTGTTTATTCTACAACTGCTATTATTTTCATTGATTTGCATGTTACTTGGGCCTGTAGTACCACAAACAAAATCTCCTTAAATGAATAAGTGCTGATTTGTCAACAGGTCCCATATGAAAACACCAAGGCATGCATATTTGGAAAATGGCCTCAGTTCCATTTAGAAACCTTGACTATTAGAGCTTGAAGGTCTTTGCTGGACATTTGGTCACCAAGCAAAACAGCTAGTCAGCACTGGTCTAAAGCCAATGCAAGTGTAATATGTTAAATTACATATTTAACTTATCCGACTTTGCTTAGCAACTTGGCAGCACGAAAAATCAAAAGATGGGTTCTGTATGATACAGTATTGCTAAAACAGCTAAACAAATGTATTCCTCCCTCCCCACCTATTCCTACGCCTGTTAATAAATTGTAGAGTGTTGGTACAAATTAACTGTGCATGAGCGAAAATTTTTATTATTGCATTGTTGATATTTGATAGCACAGATTTTGACAGATGTACAGCTTATGATGTACAGAGGGCGGGCCTTCCGCCACTCTGCACCCACCCTCTGGAACTCCATCCCGCAGTCCCTCCGTCTCGCCACCTTCAAGACCCACCTCTTCGACCATGCCTTCGATTTCCCTGCTTCCCCCACTGCCCTCCCCTAAGCTTGGGTCCGTAACTCTGTCTGTCCAGCGCCTTGGGAGGTCCTCCCAATGTGAAAGGCACTATATAAATGTAATTTTGTTGTTGTTGTTAAAAATATTGCACTCAAATTCTTAACAACAAATTACCTTTATAAAGCGCCTTTCATGTCCTAAGGCACTGGAGAGTCAGGGGTTTGCACCAGAGCTGGGGTTGGAATCGAGAAGGGTTAGAGGGTAGCGGCGTGGGAGGGTGGCCAAAGGTATGATCAAAAAGGAAGGTCTTGAGATAAGTCTTCAAGAAGGCAAGGGAGGGCCAGGCGAAGGGATCATGAAATGGATTTGCATTGGGTGGGGTCCAACTGTTAATGGTGGGGCGGAAGGGACATGAAGCAGACCAGTATCCGCCAAGCAGAGGGAAGGGAAGGGATTGCCTGTTATCACATGAAAATCCTAGTGGATGAGTGCTGGTCATGTAGCTGAAGTTAAAATAATCCTTGCCCTTGATTCTAACACTCTTTTAACATCTAGAGAAAGTGACAAAGCCATTCTGTGTATGTCTGCCTGCAGTTGGTTACAGTCCTCCTCACTATTTACTACTCTACCTAACTTTGTATCATCTGCAGACTTGGAAATAGTGCTCTCTATGCCCAAGTCCAGATCATTAATATATATTAGAACGAGCAGTGGTCCCAATACCGATCTCTGGGGGACACCGCTGCACAACTCCTTCCATTTTGAGAAACACCCATTAACCACCACCCTCTGCTTTCTGTCACTCAGCCAGTTCTTAATCCAAACTGCCATTGTCCCCTTAATACCGTGGGCCTCTAATTTTTTTATTAATCTTGACATACCTTATGCTCTTTGAGACATCCTCTCCACTTGAAAAGCATTATATTAATGTAAATTGCATTAAATTTTGGGTCTCAAACAAAGGCAGATTGCCACCATTGACTCAAAGACCAATCAAACAGTGGAAGATACCAAAACTATCACAATGGATTCCCTATAACTGCATCAAAATCTTGGTTCAATGAGTAAAGAACCTCAATGAGGTTGAACCTCAATGCACACACTACATTTCACAGCAATTCTTTGAGATGTACAACAAATATACAACATGCTCGTACATCACTCCTCTGCCCACCATCTTCACTCAGGCAGTCTAGGCCTGATGTAAATCCATTCCTTCAGCCACTGTGTGCCTAATCTCCAGAATTCCCTGCCTCAATCCTTCACCCTAACCTTCTCTTTATTCTGTTTTAAATCCTACCTAAAGACCTAACTCTTGGACAATGCCTACAGTTATCTCCCACTTATCCCTTGTTTGTTATCCAACCCCAGTTTCGTCTACACAATATACAGTAAATTCACTTTACACTATATTGTGTGAAGCGGTTTGAGACATCTCGAAGACGTGATAAGACGCTATGTCAAATGCAAGGATTATGATTATTATTACTGTACAGCACTCTGAGACATTATCCTGCATTAAGGGTGCTGCATAAATGCAAGTTGTTGCTGTTATTGACGCTATGTCAAATGCAAGGATTATTATTTCACAAAACATACACATATACATGCCGTTCATGTTGGAAGGACATCCCAAAGCTACCAAGTGAGCCAGGCTGACATCCTCTTTTAACCATATTGACCCTGAGTTGGGCTGAAGCAGCCACTTCATCCAGTGCACCAGTTCTACCTTTGCCTTCAGTGTCTGTGGGAATCTTGGAAGAGGGGAGAGTAGATCAGATTGATGCTCCTGCAGGAAAGTCCGTATTTGTCGATGTTAGGATCGTGTTTCTCTATAATGTCTCCCAGGAGTGAATATCCAGACTGGCATACATGTATGGACAGTGGAATGAGGTACTGAATGGCTTCACACATACATCATCACCCCCCCCCCCCCACACACACACACACAAACAGTCCCTGTCTTTAGAAGTGAAGGGAGACCAAAAAAAATCACGTGCTGCAACAGATGGCGGGGGAAGAGGCAAACAGAAAGATGCTGTGTTCTGTTTTTTGCTTTACATATCATGATACTAATTTTAATAAAAATGACAATAATAACTCTACCCAAATGATTTGTACAATGTTTTGGGTCCCCAATTGAAAGGCAGTATGTACTGACAAGCCGAGTTTAGAATCCCAATCGCACTGCTGAAGAGAGGTGCCCAGCAGAGCACAAAAGGAAACGCCAGAAGGAAAGGCCCACTTTCACACAAGAATGAAAGGCTTTCACATTTTTAATAGCACCTTATCACACTGAAATATCTTAAAGAGCTTCAGTGGTAATTATTATCAAGTGTAGTGACAGTTTTTGTATGCAAACTTTGCCTTTTATTGGAACAAGCTGTCTGTCAGTCTCCACCCACAGCCATAAGGTGAATTTATTCAGAGATTTATAGCCGAGGTGCTGTGGGTTCTTTAATGTAGACTTGAACAGGCAAACCTACCAGCTGGTGGCTGGTTTCACAATCATATCGTCAAAGGGCCCAGCAGCAGGCTGCTCGACTTTTGCCCAAGGATTGCACATAGAAGATCTAAGAAAGAGGAAGGAAAACATTGTAAACATACTCTCAGCCTCCAAAGAAAAAGTAAGATATATGGGCTAACTCACACTGATCGCTACAGATTGAAATCGTTTTGCTATGTCTCGCCAAATATGAAGATGTAGATTTCCCATTATAAAGTGCTAAGGAAAAAGATCACTGTTTATGCAACCAGCTTAAATACCACCCCCCCCCACATCATTTGCAAAAGAAACAAACTTGCTGATAATGCACAACAGGTTGATCAGCATCTGAAAGAGAAAAATAGGTTAACATTTTTTATGTAAACCTTCATTGCAATTGGAATAATTAGGCTGGAGATGCTGCTAAATTGGATTAGTGAACAGTGAATGAACCGGACCCAATCATTAGGAAGACATTAAAAAGCTTTTAGCCTTCACTGCCTGATTCCAGCCTTTTACCATCTGATCGTGACCTGGGTTATGGTATAAATGAAGACGATCAAGACTGTGAACTGATCCATCTCAGTGTTCCGATTCCTGAGCCAAGCTGGTCCTCAGTACTCCAGAGCACTGCTGATGACAGCCCAGCCAGCCACGTCAGCAGGACTTGGAAGGGCAAAGATTCTTCCCACTCAGCTCCTGTTAACTCTACAAGCTAAAACGCTAATGGGCCGAGCTTGACAAGCATCAGAAAGCTTGCCAGACAGTGCTCTCAATGGCAAACTAAGCATTTTTAGCTGCTTAAACTCTCACAGTATCCCAACGCTCACTCCGGGGTCCCCAAGCCTGGTCTCTCACCAATCTGACTTACGCAAACAGGTTGCATCCCTCCGGGGAGAGAGTTCGCATTCCATTTCAGACACAGGAAAATGCCCAAGTGTTAGTTCTATATATGTGGAACTCTCGGTTTAGTTACTCTTAACCACAGTGATGGGCTTTGCATGTCAGGCACGTGGCTAACCCACCCCTCCCAGCCCCCACCAATAAAGCCCTACAGGTCCTGAGATTATCATTCTCACTCTTCATGATAAAAAGGTTTCAGCCTTCTCTCAGTTTCTCCATCTCCACAATATTTGCCTTTATGTCTCCACTTTCCTCCTTTTCTTTCATCAAGGGTGCCCTCACCCTCGATTGAGATGGCTCTGTAAGTATCTGTCCCATTTTTTATGCCACCACCATCACTCGTTCTGAGTTACAACAGAAACAAAGTTCCTCTTGCCCTCACCTTCTATCTCCTCAGGCTCCATATTCCACCAGGTTAACTTCCACTATTTCCACCATCTACATGATCTCAGGACCACATGCATCTTTTCTTCCCCTCCCCACTTTCACAAGGGATCGATGTTCCGCAATTCATTCCTCCATCCCTACGCACTCTCCCTGGCACTTTCTCCTGTAATCGTACAAAAAACATTAATCACTTTGTTTCTTCTCACACAACTGATTCTGTCCTTAAGCTCCCTTTCTATTTGAGGCAATATTTCACCTGGACCTTCTCCAATCTTACACACCATTTGTCTTGACTGTTCACAGTGAAACTCCTCGATAATTGGTGAAACCAGACGAATACTCGGAGACTGTTTTGCTGAATATCACTTTCTATCAGCAAACATGACCTTGACCTCCCCATTGCTTGGAAAATCAACTCTGCTTCCCACTGTCACATTGACCTCTCTATACTTTTGACTCCCACTGAGGCGTAATTCAAACATCCACAACAATGGCTTATCTTCAGAATCCTTGAGCCTTCAAAGCCTGAATATCAACCAAGCCTCAGTCTTCATGCCTCTTCATTTCCCCACATTCAGGTTGTTTTTTCCCCCCTTCTTTTTGTAAATTCACTTATACTGGAGTTTTATGCCATCTTAGTAGTGCCCCTCATCCACTTTTCCTTAATCTTCCTTTAACAGCATTTCACAATCTGTAAAGCGCTTTGAGATGTCTCGAAGACATGATAAGAGATATATCAAATGCAAGGATTATTGCTATATTATTATCTGTTAACAATCCATCATTGCCTTCTGGATGTAAATATATTCTAATTTCTTGCCAATGCTTTGTATACCCTCCTTTATCCTCTAGCTCAGGTAGTTCAACAGGCGACCCAGGGGCCACATCTGGCCCGGCAGATGACTTCATCCGAGACCATTTCCATTTTTGGGCTGCCCGCTCACTCCCAAGCTGAGGGGAAGGTTAATGAGTCTCCTTATCCACTGCATCCTTATCAACCGCTGGCTCCTGCCGCTGCCACGAGAGGACGGTTTGCCACAAAGGGAAGGAGGGAGCAGGCAGCCCAAAATTGGAAATGGTCTTGGGCCGGATGAAATCATTCGCCGAGAGATTGACTAGGGTGGAGGAAAAGAAAGAAGCAGAGGGAGGACGAGAGGGAAGAAGAGAGTGAGAAAGAAAGGGATACATGAGTGTGTGCAAGAGAGTGCATGAGAGAGAGGGAAGAAAGAGAATGATTGAGAGAGAGATGGAGTTATTTAGAGAGAGAGTGATTGAGAGAGTGATTGAGAGTGAGATTGAGTGAGAGACAGAGTGAGATTGAGTGAGAGACAGAGAGATTGAGTGAGACAGTGAATGAGAGAGAGAGAGAGAGAGAGAGAGAGAGAGAGAATGAGAGAGAGAGTGATTCAGAGAGCGTGCACGAGGGAGAGACTGAGGGAGTGCACAAGGGAGAGAGCGCACGAGGGAGTAGGGGAGAGAAAGAAACAAAGAGTGATAGAGAGCAGAGAGAGAGAGAGAGGGAGAAAGCAAGGGCAGCGTTTTGTGGTTCACTGGCAGGCCAGACGATCGGAGCCTCCCTCGTTGCGGGGAATCAAGGACAGACACCCAGCGACGCGCCGTCCAGTTTCCTCACAGAAAACTCCCACTTTGCCCAGTGAGAAACTCCTCTATGTCCTTCATCCCCTCGCCCCCACCATACCCCTGCAACCTTCCAATCGGGCCATTCTGTTTGCCCAGCAAACACTGACTTACTTCATGTACCCCCTCCCCATCTGGCCCTCCATTGCCATTTCGGTCTCGCTCTCTGGAGCTCCATACCCTCTCTACAAGCAAGCTCTACGAACTGGCTCCAGCCAACTGAACCTGGCAAGCCTGCTGTAAACTCAAGGCACAGAGTTCTGTAGATTAAACATACATCTACAAGAAGCAATTATAACATGATTGAAAGCAAACCAATTCTGTAGTTTCGATGTCCCATGTAACTTAATGAATAAAATCATGTGGGAGGCTATAAGGTTCGAATATCCCGTCCCACGTTTCAAAGTCTTCTTCAAATACAGGTTAGCTGATTTCTAGCAATAACGTATGGTAACCAGCATAATAGAATATCCCAGACTATATAATTACAAAGTCATTCCAAAATGAATTGTATACATGATCCAAATTTAGTTTAAATTGTTGGGTCTTGATGGTGAAACCTAAAACATTACACGGTCTAAAATTTCTGTAAGAAACATTTGTCTGCACAACGGGGTACGGATTATACAACTATGGTCAGTGAAGTATAGAATTACTCTTCCCAAAGAAAGTTTGCTGACAAAATGCACATAATTGATTTTGACAGGTCTAATATACACATTATCGAATCACTCAGTTATACAACAAAGCAAGCAAGACAAATGTGCACTTATTTCAGGTTAAAGCATATTTGTACCTAAAATATAGGCGTGAAGCTATACGCCACCAACCTATTTAAAATAGAACAATAATAAAACCAATCTTTCGATTCCACTGCAGCATTACTTTATCTGATTCAGGCTTATTAAAAGTCACATCACACATCTGTCATTGCCTGGGCCAATAAAAAAAATCCATAGAGACAAACAACCCTAACAAAGACAAACAACCCCCTGCAAAAACTAGTAACAGTGAAGTTTGCTCAGTGCCCAGGTGTCTGTGTACACTACTGGTGGCTGTTAACTCGACGCCCGGGCTTAGGCACCTCTGTGCGCATTACCATAGTGAAACAGCTCGGGGCTCACCTTCACAGCGCAGGGGTGTTGGGATCATGGCAGTGGTGTAGGCGGGATTGACCACGGCCAGGGACCCGCTTTAGTGATGGCCCGCTCCCAGGCATGGCCCGCGTCCAGCCCCAGTGTGCCACAGTTGGGATTGTCTGCGGGCGCTCTGTCCATCTGTGTGCGTAACAGGAAGATGGTGGCAATGCTCTCACACCTTTCATGCTGAGCTGTGTTGCCCACCAAGGAGTTCCTAGTACCTACCGTTCACCCTAGTGACAATTCAAACCTGCGCTTGTCGGATGTCAAATGTCCAACCCGTGACTATCTCCTTGGGGTGATGGGGAGGTAAGCAGGGTCTGTTTGGAGCTGAATTGGCTCCAACGTGACATGCTTGTTAAACAGAATTTCAGAATTGAGCGAGCCCTCTGTGGTTCTCTGCAGTATTCCAGGGCACTGCTGATGACAGCACAGCAATCCTGGCTCAACGGCAGGACCTGGAAGGGAAAACGAGTTGCTGGGGGCAGGGAATCCATCCAATCAGCTCCTGTTAACCCTGCAAACCAAAGCCCAAACAGGAATGGTGGTCCTAGCTGGACAAGCAGCGGGAAAGCTTGTCAGACAGTGCTAGCAATGGCAAGCTGTGCAGTGTTAGCTGGTTAAGACTCCAGTAGTATCCCAACACACACTCTGGAGTCCCCCAGGCCTTAACTCTTACCAACCTGGGCCTAATACTTTCCGGAATTGGTTAATCAGGATGCATCCCTTCAGGGAGAGAGTGCACATTCCATGTGTAGGTGGGATGTATGGAATTCTCAGTTTGGTTTGGATACTCTTAAGCACGGTGATGGTTTTCTGTATGTGTCAGACCCCGGCTGAGCAAAAAAAGGGTTTGTGTGTGTCTCTCTCCTCTGTCTTGGTTTTTGAGTCTGTGTGTGTCTCTCTCTGAGTGTGAGTGTCTCTCTCTGACTGTGTGTGTCTGTGTGCAGTGGAGGGCCACAATAGGCAGGAGATGGTGACCTTATGAAGCCCTGCGGTCAGGACACTGGCGAGCATGGCAAGCAATGCTGGTTGCTCGGCAGATATCCAGGGATTCAATTGTTGTATGGGTTGGAAACGGACTATTCGACCCTTCAGTTTATCCCCCCAAAGTGGGCCACCCAGTCGAGTTCCGCTCTGCTCTTAAAACGTGTTATGTTCTGCTTTGTTAAAGAAAGCATTAATAAATTGTTTTTTTTGCAACAATCTATGATGTGCTACTTCTTCATGATTCGGTTTTCATCAATAATGTGGAAAAATGTAGGTTAGCAGTAGAGTATACCTTTCAACAACACCAACCAACCCTCCACAATGTTCTGCAAAATTTGACAAGTTCACCTGCAATTTTTGGCAAATATTTCCTCAATTTTCTATTGGCATTGTCATTGTTGTCAAGATAAATCCCAATTGCTCAAAACTTTCACATCGTTATCCCTATGATCCCCACCTACATCCAACTAAAACGCAACCAGAATCTGCTCAGTAAATGTTGTAACCTAATGGGGTGGAGAGAGAAAATCATTGCAACAAGAACTTATCAAATGTAAATACAAAACTCAAGACATAAATGCACACACAGATGTCAAGATATGATCTGCCAAATACAGATTTCAAAAGTATTGATTTTATTGAAATTGACCCACAATTCACATGCAGCCCAGCTGCTATCGCTGTGAACATGTTAAAAGAAATATTGGCCACAGGTGCAGTCTGCAATGAGAAGATTATTGACCAGAAATCTACAGTTAAAATGTTTCAAATTCTTTAAAAACAAAGTCAAGCTCCAACACTCACAAAGATTGAAAAACAAATCTGCAATTTTCACCAGAAATCAATATTAGATATTTAGAGTGCAGTGCAGTTATTTTACAAGAAGTAGTGTGACAGGCACCAGGCATACCACTGAAAATCTTGGCCTCAGCAGGTTAATTATATCTTTGGCTCTGCCCTGTCGGTAGGCAACAACATTCCTTCCACTGTCACTGGTTTCTATGACAAATAAATGAAAACTATTTTCTTGTGTGTGACAGCTCTTCTGTAAGTCCCAGGTAGTGTTTCAGTACAAGGATATAAATAAATATACAATAAACACTTTGAATAAACATAGATGCTGGGTGTGCAATAATTGATGCAAGTCTCCACTCCAATCCATTCTCAGGATTAATTGCACGACTTTTTAAAAAAAAGTCTCACAGATACTCCAGAGTGACACATTTCCAAACTAATGCACCCGCCACATAACATACACAGTAACGTCAAGTGACAGTGAAGGCCACTGGAGAGCTCTCAGCTGCCTGATCCAATAATCCATCTGTTAAAACTTGCAATTTATTTCTGCACAACAGAACAGTGCAAAAGGTGACACACACATGGCAGCAATAACAACAAACCACCAGCACCCAGACAAGAAACACAACCACCTGAAAACAACAAACCCCCCCCACCAAAAAGCAAAAGTGCAACACCTCCAGTCTGACATAAAAACAACCCCCCCCCCCCCAAAAAAAAAACCCACACACAGCAACTTCCCGGCCTAGGGGGAGGCCTTGACAGCAATTACTGCAGCAGTTTGCCTGGCAGTAGGTCATGAACTCAGACACACACCCACATTGCACACACACACACACACACACACAAAGTTTTTTTGCAGAGAGGAAGGGGGAGAGAGGAAAGTGTGTGTGTGTGTGTGTGGGGGGGGTGTATTTATAATTTATTTAAGAGAGAGGGGGAGGAGGAAACATTATGCAACGTTGCATTATTTATCTATCTCTCTCTCTCTCTGTATATATATAAATATCTACATGTACACAGATGCATGTGTGTTACCGTTCGTGCCGCCTCCGCCCAGGTTCGTCCTTTCTTCTTCCTCTGCTTCTCCTTCATGACGAAGAGGCTGGAGTTGTGAGGGAGGGAGGGGAGGAGGAGGGGAGGGAGTGAGTGTCAGCGGCTGAGGTTGTACGGGCGCTGGTGTGAGAGGAGGAGGAGGAGGAGAGGAGAGACCAGACAGACAGACAGACAGAGAGAGGAGCTGTGAGTAATGAGGGAGGGGGTGGAGAAGCTGCTGAGTGACAGCCCGGCCCGGCCCGGCCCGGCCCTCTCTCTCTCTCACTCACTCACTCCGCACGGCCTCCCGCCGCCGCTCCTCCTCTGCCATATTTGCTGCCGGAGGTTTACTGTACGGCGGCCTCACATGATCCACAGGCCGCCCCGCCCCGTGACAGCCAGCAGGGAGGGGGGGGGGGAGAGGTGAGGGGGGGGGCGGGGGGGGTGAGAGGGGCGGGGGGGGAGGGGAGGTGAAGGGGGGAGGGGGGGGTGAGGGGGGAGGTGAAGGGGGAGGGGGGTGAGGGGGTCGAGGGAGGGGAGGAGGTGAGGGGGGAGGTGAAAGCGGGGGGAGGGCGGGGGGGAGGGGAGGTGGGGGGTGAGGGAGGGGGGTAAGGGGGAGGGAGGGGGGGTGTGGGGGGAGGGAGGGAGGTGGGGGGAGGTGAGAGGGGGAGGGAGGGGGGTAAAGGGGGTGAGGGGGAGGGAGGGGGTAAAGGGGGTGAGGGGGAGGGAGGGGGTAAAGGGGGTGAGGGGGAGGGAGGGGGTAAAGGGGGTGAGGGAGGGGGTAAAGGGGGTGAGGGGGAGGGAGGGGGTAAAGGGGGTGAGGGAGGGGGTAAGGGGGGAGGGGTGAGGGAGGGGGGAGGTGAGGGAGGGAGGTGGGGGGGAGGGGTGAGGGAGGGGGGTAAAGGGGGTGAGGGAGGGAGGTGGGGGTGAGGGGTGAGGGAGGGGGCGGGGTTACAAATACATCATGTACAGTAACACAGGAAATGACATCACAGTCCCCTGTCCCTCACGGGGGGGGGGGGGCACAGTCTCGGGGCCGCGGGTTTCACTCTCAACCACTCGCTTCCTCCTCATCCTCAGAACTGCGTATACACACACACCGCCCCCTCCCACAGCATTACACACACACACCGCCCCCTCCCACAGCATTACACACACACCGCCCCCTCCCACAGCATTACACACACACCGCCCCCTCCCACCACCGCCATTACACACACACCGCCCCCTCCCACAGCATTACACACACACCGCCCCCTCCCACAGCATTACACACACACCGCCCCTCCCACAGCATTACACACACACCGCCCCCTCCCACAGCATTACACACACACACCGCCCCCTCCCACAGCATTACACACACACACCGCCCCCTCCCACAGCATTACACACACACACCGCCCCCTCCCACAGCATTACACACACCCGCCCCCTCCCACAGCATTACACACACACCGCCCCCTCCCACAGCATTACACACACACACCGCCCCCTCCCACAGCATTACACACACACCGCCCCCCCCCACAGCATTACACAACACACCCCCCCTCCCACAGCATTACCCACACACCGCCCCCTCCCACAGCATTACACACACACCGCCCCCTCCCACAGCATTACACACACACACCGCCCCCTCCCACAGCATTACACACACACCGCCCCCTCCCACAGCATTACACACACACCGCCCCCTCCCACAGCATTACACACACACACCGCCCCCTCCCACAGCATTACACACACACCCGCCCCCTCCCACAGCATTACACACACACCGCCCCCTCCCACAGCATTACACACACACCGCCCCCTCCCACAGCATTACACACACACCGCCCCTCCCACAGCATTACACACACACCGCCCCCTCCCACAGCATTACACACACACACCGCCCCCTCCCACAGCATTACACACACACCGCCCCCTCCCACAGCATTACACACACACCGCCCCCTCCCACAGCATTACACACACCGCCCCTCCCACAGCATTACACACACACACCGCCCCTCCCACAGCATTACACACACACCGCCCCCTCCCACAGCATTACACACACACCGCCCCCTCCCACAGCATTACCACACACACCGCCCCCTCCCACAGCATTACACACACACACCGCCCCCTCCACAGCATTACACACACACACCGCCCCCTCCCACAGCATTACACACACACCGCCCCCTCCCACAGCATTACACACACACACCGCCCCCTCCCACAGCATTACACACACACACCGCCCCCTCCCACAGCATTACACACACACACCGCCCCCTCCCACAGCATTACACCCACACACCGCCCCCTCCCACAGCATTACACCCACACACCGCCCCCTCCCACAGCATTACACACACACCGCCCCCTCCCACAGCATTACACACACACCGCCCCTTCCCACAGCATTACACACACACACCGCCCCTTCCCACAGCATTACACACACACCGCCCCCTCCCACAGCATTACACACACACCGCCCCCTCCCACAGCATTACACACACCGCCCCCTCCCACAGCATTACACACACACACCGCCCCCTCCCACAGCATTACACACACACCGCCCCCTCCCACAGCATTACACACACACCGCCCCCTCCCACAGCATTACACACACACCGCCCCCTCCCACAGCATTACACCACACACCGCCCCCTCCCACAGCATTACACACACACCGCCCCCTCCCACAGCATTACACACACACCGCCCTCTCCCACAGCATTACACACACACACCGCCCCCTCCCACAGCATTACACACACACACCGCCCCCTCCCACAGCATTACACACACACACCGCCCCCTCCCACAGCATTACACACACACCGCCCCCTCCACAGCATTACACACACACACCGCCCCCTCCCACAGCATTACACACACACACCGCCCCCTCCCACAGCATTACACACACACACCGCCCCCTCCCACAGCATTACACCACACACCGCCCCCTCCCACAGCATTACACACACACACCGCCCCCTCCCACAGCATTACACACACACCGCCCCTCCCACAGCATTACACACACACCGCCCCTCCCACAGCATTACACACACACACCGCCCCCTCCCACAGCATTACACACACACCGCCCCCTCCCACAGCATTACACACACACCACCCCCTCCCACAGCATTACACACACCGCCCCCTCCCACAGCATTACACACACACACCGCCCCCTCCCACAGCATTACACACACACCGCCCCCTCCCACAGCATTACACACACACCGCCCCCTCCCACAGCATTACACACACACCGCCCCCTCCCACAGCATTACACCCACACACCGCCCCCTCCCACAGCATTACACACACACCGCCCCCTCCCACAGCATTACACACACACCGCCCCTCCCACAGCATTACACACACACACCGCCCCCTCCCACAGCATTACACACACACCGCCCCCTCCCACAGCATTACACACACACCGCCCCCTCCCACAGCATTACACACACACACTGTCCCCTCCCACAGCATTACACACACACCAACCTCACAGCAATGTGATTACACACACACCAACCTCACAGCAATGATATTACACACACACCACCCCCCTCCCACAGCAATGCCATTACACACACACACCAACCTCAGCAATGCCATTACATACACCAAGCTGACAAAAATTACATTACACAAGCACCAACCTTGCAGCAATGCCATTACATACACACCAACCTCACAGCAATGATATTACACACACATACACAGCAACCTCTGAGGAATGACATTACACACACATTGAGCAGGGAATTGGTAGCAAACTTTGTATTGCAGCCACATCAGTCCAGCACAGCTGTTACTGCTGTTGGCAGAGTTTGCCAGATATTGAAATAGGTTTGTGGCCCAAAATCCAACAAATATTAGCCCAAAAGTAGCCTAAAAGTGTGTTGCCTCCTATGGGCAATAGAGTGACCAATTTAGGTTTCAGTAATTGTGAAACTAAGAAATGGTCTTTAAAGGAACAAAAACACACAACGTTTTGCAGATATAAATTTTAAAATTAAATACCCACCCCAAACCGTTTTTCTCCCACAGAGCAACAAAAACACACCCAACTGGGTGTGAATCTGCCCAATTTGGCAACCCTGCTCACAGAAATGACATTACACATACAGAGAGCAGTGAATTGGCAGTGAACTTTGCACTGGAACAACTGCTTACTGCTTACTGAGTGTGTGTGGGGAGGAGGGAGGAGGTTTTGCATGTTAATATATGCAGAATTTTACATGTCACATCCATGCGGTACAAGCTGCAAGAATGCGGTTATGGGAAAACATCTGACCTTAATTGTGCCAGACTATAATCTTCTATTGCGCAGATTCCACTTTTACTCCCATCCCCCCACAGACTCATGCAATCCAACCAGCCTTCAGTGGCCGTTTGTTACCTCCCCCTTCCTGCTCACACACACATGCGCTAATCCTATCCGCATCTACAGTCAGTCAGAGATTATGTTGATATGCACAGTGAAGCTGATCTGGTCACTTCACCTGTGAATATTGTAAGGGTTTCTGCAATTCTGATTTATCATATCTGAGCAATAGGAACCTATGGAGAATACTGATCTCCCCTAAAAACATCCAAACATAAAACAAATTGCACTTACATAGCGCCTTTCCCCTCGGGAGCCAAGGACAGTGTGGTGGGGGGGAAGATGACTGAAGGTGTAGTCAAAGAGGAAGGTCTTGAGACAGACCTTGAAGGAAGTTAGAGAAGGAACTACGTGATGGAGTTCCAGAGAGTGGGGGCTGAAAGGATTAAGGGCAGGGGATGTTAAGCAGGCCAGTGCCCGGCAAGCGGGCAGGTTGGTACGGTTTTAGAAGCTCACAGAGGTGGGGTGGGGCAAAACCATGGAGGCCTTTAAAAGTGAGGATGGGGATCTTGAACTCAATCCTCAGTGAAGCTGGGCGAGGATGGGTTGATAGGCTTGCGGCGCCTGGAGTAGGAGTGGGCACGAGCTGCAGAGTTCTGAATGGTTTGCAGCTTGTGGAGGAAGAGCTAGAAAGTGGGAGATGGAGCAATAGTTAGGGAACAGGGATGGGTTATGGGAAGATTTTTTGAGGATGGGGCGCTGACCGCTATTTTTAAGCGGGTGGGAACAAGCTGTCAGAATGCAATAACAACTGTAGATTTACTTATAGTATCTTAAACCATGTTTATAACATCTTGCATTTATTTGGCATATTTTAGGGGAAAGAACATCTCAGAACCATCTCACGTAATTTATTTAGTGACATTCACATGAGGAGGACGCCTCAACATGCTTTACACTGGGAATGCTAGCTGAGGGGAGGACATAATGTTTGGCTGATAATCTTTAGATAATCATTGGACAAAATGTAATGGTGTACACTGAGCAAGAAAGTGAAACATTTAAAGATGCAAGACAAGGACAGATTTAACAAGGTGTAGTGATTTTGTAAACATAAACAAAAACAACAAATTGCATTTATTTGGCACCTTTCATGTTGGGAGGTTGTCCCAGGGCACTGGTCAGTTAAGGGTTTGCACCTGAGCTGGAGGGTAGGGGTGGGGGCATGGGGGTGGGGGCAAATGGGGGCTGGGAAGAACACTGAAAACGCAGTCAAAGAGGAAGGTCTTGAGATGGACCTTGAAGGAAGGGAAGGGGCAAGGGATTCTGGAATGGAGTTCCAGAGAGTAAGGGCAGAAAGGCCAAAGGCCTGATCGCCAATGGTTGGGCGGGCAGGAATGGGTGATGTGAAACAGGCCAGTGCCTGCTAAGCAGAGGGAGTTGGCAATTTGGTAGCGTTTTAGAAGGTCACTGAGGTAGGGTGGGGCAAGACGGTGCAGGACTTCAAATGAGGACGAGGATCTTGAACTCTATCCTCTGGGGGATGGGGAAGGCAGTGGAGCTGGGTGAGGATGGGGATGATAGGTTCCTGGAGCTTGGAGTGAGAAAGGATACAAGCTACAGTTCTGAATAGTCTGCAGCTTGTGGAGGGAAACGTTGGGAGGTCCAGTGAACAGAGTTTGCGTAGTCAAGCCTGGTCGTGATACAACAACAACAAGATTCCATTTATAGAGCGCCTTTCACGTCGGGAGGACGTCCCAAGGCGCTGTACAGTTGGGTCAGGACCCGAGCAGGGGGGAAATGGTCAGGGTGAGGGGAGGGAAGGGAGGGAGCGAGGAGGGGGTAGAGAGTCGAGAGGGGAGCTGAAAGAGAAAGGTCTTGAGACCGGCCTTGAAGGAGGAAGGGGAGGAGGCAAGGCCAAGGCACTGGGGGATAGAGTTCCAGAGCCTAGGGGCTGAAGGCCCGGCCACCAATGGTAGGGCGGTTGGGGTGGGGGATGTGGAGCAGACCGGAGCCAGAGGAACGGAGGGTACGGGCAGATAAGTAGGGGGATAGTAGGTCGGAGCGGTAGGAGGGAGCGAGGCCGTGAATGGCCTTGTAGGTGAGGATGAGGATCTTGAATTTGAAACGTGATAAAACTGAGGATAAGGGTCCACCTCTCAAAGCCAGTCAGGAACCTCGACATTCTGTTCGACCCTGAGCTGTCCTTTCTCCCTCATATCCGCGCCACAACTGGCACCGCCTTCCATCACCTCCGGAATATCGCCAGACTACGGCACTACCTCACCCCTCACGCTGCTGAAACTCTGGTCCACGCCTTTATCACCTCAAGGCTGGACTATGGGAACTCTCTCCTCGCCGGCCTTCCCAGCACCTCCCTCCACAAGCTGCAGGTCATTCAGAACTCTGCAGCTCGTGTACTGTCCCGCACCAGGCTTCGGGACCACATCACTCCTACCCTCGCTCGCCTCCACTGGCTCCCCATCCCCCAGAGGATTGATTTCAAGATCCTCACCCTCACCTACAAGGCCATTCACGGCCTCGCTCCCTCCTACCTCTCCGACCTACTATCCCCCTACCTACCCGCCCATACCCTCCGTTCCTCTGGCTCCGGTCTGCTCCACATCCCCCGCCCCAACCGCCCTACCATCGGTGGCCGGGCCTTCAGCCTCTCAGCCCCGAGGCTCTGGAACTCTATCCCCCAGTGCCTTTGCCTTGCTTCCTCCCTTTCCTCCTTCAAGGCCGGTCTCAAACCTTTCTCTTTGACCGTGCCTTCAGCTCCCCTCTCGACTCTCTACCCGCTCCTCGCTCCCTCCCTTCCCTCCCCTCACCCTGACCATTTCCCCCTGCTCGGGACGTCCTCCCAACGTGAAAGGCGCTCTGTAAATGGAATCTTGTTGTTGTTATTGTTGTAAAGGTCAGTTGAGAGTCAAACAAGACACTGGGATTCTGCACTGGGTCAATGAGTGCATCCATGTCATTATGGTGAAAATGGTGTCAGCACCTGAGGTGATAAGGCACTGACAGGACACAAGCAGGAGAATGGGTCCCAAGCCTCTGTCTTTTCGACATTCAATTGGAGAAAGTTAACTGACATCCAGGATTTGATGTCCAGCAGGCAATTGATCAGGACAGAAGTGGTCCTGGAATCAAGGATAGAGGCAGCGAGATAAATTTGGGTATCATCTGCATACATGTGGGTGACATCGCTGAGAGGGAGAATAAAGAGGAGAGGACCGAGGATAGAAGCCTTAAGAAACTTAACTCAGGATCAAGCAGAACACTAAGATTGCACACTATCTGGTTCAGGCAGAGCAAGTATCTATGGAGGTTGATGATTTACCAATGCAGACCCTGAAGAAGCAGACCTAAGATTGATAAACCCCAGCTAGCAGGACTAATGGGGGAGGGATCCGTTCTAGTGAGCTGGAGATAACATTGTATTACGATGCCGGTAATGCAACAAATGCATATGCAGTGCTGCAAAATGCCAGTAACGGAAAAACATTCTACAGGCCCACAGAAATTTTTGTAAAATTTTGTTGGTGTCTGGCTCCGTCTGGCTAAGTTCAAATTCTGGATACCCGGAATCCTGTAAGACAGGGGCTTACTATAATCATAACAGCAAGCATAGTGTATCTGAATGGTTGGTAGAATCATTGTGTCCAGTAACCCATATGAGTGATGAAAAAGTTGCTTTTATTTTTAATCATAAGGGTCTTGTGCTCCTTCCAATGTTGATGCAGGAGGAGGAAAGGGATTATACCAAGCACAAAGTTGGGTATGCAACAATTGCTGGAAGTCAACCGTCGAAGTCAGCCAACTCAGTTTCCCCTCTTCCACCGCCCCCATCCCCAACCAATTTACACTTCACATTGAAGGTATATATACATTTTTCGTGAAATCATTTGCAGGTTGAAGTTGTAAATTGCAAGAAAATAACAATCAGGTGCTGTGAATAATTATTATGAAATTACTGCAGTCGCATTTGCTTTAGTCCACATCCACAGGAAATGTTTGGCATTGTAGACCCAAAATACTGCATTTTGTAGAAATACTTTGAGAAGTGTTTTTGTTTTATGATGAAAGGTGCTCTATAAATGCAACTTGCTGTTTTTTTTTGACAGTTCTCTCCATTCCATTCGCAAAAGTTTAAATGTAGAGCTAACCATCACTTGCAGAACAAGGACTGTTAGAACATGCACCAGGCAATGTTAAATCTCAAATTTGCCTTTTCAGGCACAAAATACCATTTCTCAGTCTTTCTGTGCTCCCTGTAAACATCAAAGTCATGTCCATGAAACACTATGCCAGCCTCCAGCTGCACTTTCTTGCTATGCAAACTGATATGTTAATAAAGAAAACAACTCTGGTGAACTTCTGACTAGCACACATTATTGCACTATTCAATACGCAATTAATTTTTTGCTGGTATTTTTAGGTTAAATTTAACCACAACAGATTTCAATGTCCTATAACTATTTTTGAAAAACAAAGCCCGGTCACTCGTAAACTGAAGTGGATGTGTATCATATTCTTGTTGGCATGGTAGCGACGCTGGTTGCCATGACTCAGTGAAGCACCAGCATGACTCACGGTGTTCAGTCGTGTTCGAATACTCTTCCACCATTGACATTCACAAGATCATAAGATAAGTTTAAAGAAGGCCCTCCAGAATATCCATCTTACCATCCTTCCATCACCACCACAAGCTGCTTTTTAAATGACTTCAATATCCAGGCCCCAACCACCCTTCGTGGCAACCTGCTTCAGTCATTTAATTAACCTCTGGGTAAAGATCACAGTTGTGTGCATTATGCACTTTAATGGTTAAGGTAGTATAGTATTATTTTAAAGCATGTAACTCTAATTATGCGGCAAATTTAAGTACCTTTTATTGAGTATAACGTACCAAATATAATTAACATGCAACGTGTGGAGTCCTGTAGCTCAGTGGTTAGAGCACTCGCTTTGCAAGCGAGAGACCTGAGTTCAATTCCAGGCAGGGCGAAACCTTGGGCAACTTTACTTACTCCACACACCTAATAATAATCCCTCCAAAACCCAAAACAATAATAAATTGGTCATTTTCAATCT